CAAATCCCTCAAAGTCAACTTCACTTTCACTATCACTGGCTTGGGCTGGTTGTGGTGGGTTGCGGGCGAAGAACTCGGTTATGCTTTGCTGACGGCTGGTGTTGATGTTGTCGTGATACACCTTGATGTACGGCTCCATAGCCTGCACCAGTCGGGTATGGAAGACTTCATAGCGTTCATCGTCATTGTCGCGGGAAAGGACGGACTTAATTTTTTCTGTAAACTCTATGACACACTTAATATCACTATGACTTAAACTAGGTTCGGAGAATGACGCACCTTCTTCCTCCTCTTCACTGGCGTGTTCTTCTTCCAACATCTCGTCGGCAGTCACTTCAGGATCTTTGATCACCTCCAGGATGTCTTCGTTGGTGGTCTCGGAGAAGCCTTCAGCTGTAATATTGAGCGCAGCTTCTCTGGCAAGGTCCACTGCTACTGCAACAGTCTGAACCTCACCAGTCACAGGTTCACTCCTCCTCTCACCTGGTATGCCATGCAACACATGTCTCCATGCGTGATGAATCGTAGCAATAGTCAGCAGATCCCATGCCTCCACCAAGAAGTCTACAGCTTGTTTAACGTTAAACTTCTTCCAAAATTGTTTGACGAGAAGTTCTTGAGTCACCGCCTCTTGTTCCTTGTCCTCGTCGCTTTTGCTCTCGCTGTCGGTGTCACCCAGCTTACGCAACTCATCCTTGGTGTTGGTAGAGTCGTTCAGCAGCTTGAACTTCTTTGCAGAGTACGCAGCTTTCACATTGCAGATCAACTCCTGGTCCATGGGCTGGATTAATGACGTAGTGTTGGGAGGAAGGAAGACCACTTTTACGTTGGGGTGACGATCCATAAGTAGAGGCGAGTGTCCAGGTGCGTTGGCAAGGAGCAACAAAATATTGAATGGAACATTCTGTTGCTCGCAGAATTTCTGCACGTCAGGAACAAAACAGTTGTCAAACCAGAAGAGGGACAGAGAAGAGGACATCCACGCCTTACGTGCGGTTAGCCAGTGGACATTAAGCTTGTTCATGTCCATATTCTTGTAGGCGTGCGGCTTGCGGGCTTTGTGAATCACCGATAACTTTGGTTTACAGGTACCGGAGGCATTGGTGGTAAACAGGACGGTGATGCGTTCCTTCTGCAACTTCCGACCCCTTACCTTGCTGGCAGACTGGACAACGAAGGTCTTGGAAGGTAACTTTTTCCAGAAAAGACCAGATTCATCCATGTTAAACACCTGGTCGTCGGTGTACTGTCCTTCCTCCATAATCTCACGTAAGAACGGAGGAAAATCTCTAGCCGCCACACGGTCAGCACTCGCTTCCTCACCACCAATGTTGATGTTGGTGATCTTGTTCCTCTTCTTAAACCTATGCAGCCAACCAGAGGAAGCATTGAAGGGTTTGGGTTCTGCAATTCCCAGCTTACGTGACACTGCTGCGTATAGCTCACGTGCGTACTCCTGCACTGAGCGCGTGTCCACCGCCATGTTGCGTCGCGCCTGACGAATCAAATAATTCACCAGCAAATTTTCCACTTTTGCCAGCACCCTGTTCTGGCAATACCTGATAGATGAAGCACCTGCAGACTTTGTGATTTTCATGTGCTCTTTGATCTTGGCTGCATCCTTCTTGATCGTGCGAATCGTAGATTCGTTGACGCCATGCTTGCGCGCGAGATCAATTTGCCGTGTTCCTTTCTCCAAATCTTGAACAATTTGGTACTTCACCTCGTAGCTTAAGGAACGTCGTGTCTTCTTTGGCTTAGTGCCGCTGGGTCCAGGTAAGGAAAGGTCTCTCTCTGGTGGCGGTGGTGGTCCGGCGGAAGCCATTTTACGGAACAATGGATGCGCGTTTACACGGTGTGGCCTTGAGGGATGAAACTGCTGCGGCTAGGTCAAGCGTCGTCTTTCCTCCCTCCCTCCCCCCCTCCCTCCCTCCCCCGGGTGGTCACGTCATAATACTTTAAGCCAATTAAAGCTAGCAGCAGAGGGGGGTAGGGATGCATGGCCAATCACAGTCCGATACGTCATATGACGTCAGTGATAACGCAACAAAGACACACACTGCGCAACCTTACCGCGCGGCTTGCCCAGGCGGAGGGAGGAGGGAGGGAGGGAGGAGGAGGGAGAGGCGAGAGCACAGGCAGGCAGGCGGGTGGGGCGAATCTAAAAATAGTGTCGCGCCGAACACTCTCCGTGTAATGGGGTTCACGCACCGCGTAATGTGAGCACGTTAGGTTCTGGCAGGGCACCGCGTTAACGTGGAAACGCGGAATGTGGGACCGCGTAAAGCGAGGGTTGACTGTATACGTACATATACACTTTTACTCTTAAATCACTACTGTAATGTGATACAGGTGATTAATTTTTTTCTCTTGTGCAAAATACATGACGTTTATATTAAAAGTATTCACTTATTTACAAGGATTCCAGCAATGCCAAGCAGATGCGGGAGAGAGAGGGTGGGAGCGAGCGAGGGGGCGTGGGGGCAGGGGAGGTAGTACGTTTGACAGTTGGCACAGGCCCAGGTCTAACTTGTGTATATTTATCAGTTCTTAGGTGACTAAGCTTCTCTCTTATAAAAAGCCAGTGAAATGACCTGGGTGAATATAATTAACATAGCTGGGATTCTTGTAACATACTGATTGATTTGAATATAAACATGCTATAATTTGCACTAGACAAAACAATTTTAGTACCGTAATCAAATTAGTACATGTGCACTCCAGCTTTGCACTAAGGTCATTTATTTCTATTAGGTTTCTTTTAGTATGGTGTGTGCATGTAAATGGATGAAAATAAATGAAGAAATCTATGTAAATCTACCCAAAAATACAGTTGAAAAACTTTTTTTATAAAATGTACTATAGCACTGTACACTAATGTACAACAATTTTTATCTCGAGCAAAATATATGACGTTTATATTCAAATTATTGGCTGTCTTGCAAGGATTCCAGCAATGCAAATTATAATCTCCTAACTTTAGTCTGAGATATTATATAAGATAAAAACTGTAAGCCTAAAAGCCTGGCTGGGGGGAGGGACTGATGGCTCCGCCACCCAGCGAGGGGTTGGGGGGGTTGAGGTGATAAGTTTGAGGTGAAGGTCTCTGTGTGTTTATTTAACAGTCCTACTAAGCTTCTTTCCTTTTAAAATGCCAGTGATATGACCTAGGAAAATATAATTAACATAGCTGGGATTCTTGTAAGATACTGATTTATTTGAATATAAACATGTTGTAATTCGCACTAGACATAACAATTTTAGTACCGTAATCAAATTAGTACATGTGCACTCCAGCTTTGCACTAATTTATTTTACGTTTCTTTTAGTATGGTGTGTGCATGTAAATGGATGAAAATAAATGAAGAAATTTATGTAAATCTACCCAAAAATACAGTTGAAAAACTTTTTATAAAATGTACTATAGTATTGTACACTAATGTACTACATTTTTTATATCTTGAGCAAAATATATGACGCTTATATTCAAATTAATCTCTGTCTTGCAAGGATTTCAGCAATGCAAATTATATTATCCTAACTTTAGTCTGAGATATTATATAAAATAAACATAAAGAAATCACCAATCTTTTATCTTGAACACGAGGGTGGGAAGACGGGGGGGGAGGTGAGGTGACAGAATGTCTGGCGTTTGTTTATTTATTTATTTGAGATAAGATTTGACAGTTGGCGCTGAAGGCCTGCCTGCGTGTTTATTTATCATTACTTAAGAGTGACTAAGCTCTTCTCATAATTTTCCACCCAAACGACCTGGGTGAATATAACTTACATTGGAAGGTTTCTTGTAAGATAGTAATTTATTTGAAAGTTTTTTTTTTCAATTTAAATTTTAATTGTTTATTCCTTGATAGAGGAAGCGGGATCGTAGTGCTGTCACTTGGTACCCCTGAACCATAACACCAGAAGCAACTGGCCAGTGTCACAAGTATATACAGTCATCCCTTGGTTATCGCGCCTAATTGGGACCCCGCCGATAACGAAAGTACAGAACCTATGAGATTTATTCTAATTGGTTCCAGGCACCCAAGACCCAACCCCAAGTTTCCCATTTACGACCATTTATACCCACTAAATATATATATAATGTTATGGTAAATATCATAAACACACATGGGCATGGCTAGGTTTATTACAAAGTGATGAAAAGGGTACGCTTAATACTGTAGTCCACAAAACATGTAGCTATGCTTTTTTTATTTGGTCCCCCGTCATACGAGTCCGTTTTCTCTCACATCAGGACGCCTGAGTCCTCCGTTTTCTCTATTAATCTTAGAGTGCACCAGAAACTTTACTATTTTTAGTAATGCCACAGATTTTGAAATTGCAACCCCAATTGCAACTTGCAATTGTTGAGGCAACTAGATATGTCTGATTACAGCAAATGTGTTATTGTCAATTTGTAGGTGAAAGATTTTATCCTTAATAGATGTAGGTTAACATTTCACCTGTAGGCAAATGCTTAGAAAAGCCTAAGTAAGGAAGCGTATTCCTTTAACACATAATATCTGACCAGTATGGGGAAGATCATCATGTCTCCGTCAGGGGGTCGTGGAGTGGTGGTCCATCAGGCGTCACGTGTTTTTTTTTTGGGGGCACTGGCGATATCGTCGGACGTTAACCGGCGCATGACTGTATATTTATGTCCTTTTATTCCTCTTATAATATATATTACTATGTCCTTTTATAATATATTTACTGTACTATGACTATGTTCTTGAGTTTGAGATGCGTACTTTTAAAGAGTAACTCAAGCATCCAGAAAAATTTTTTTATCCAGTACAGTCTCTCCTCAACTTACGACGGGGTTCCGTCCCGATGACCAGGTCTTAAGTCGAATTGGTCATAAGTCGAAAAGGCGAAAATAATACATAGAAATTCTAAAATGGGAGCCTCTTTTTCTTCTCAACACCACGAGAACTCTCACTTTTATGCTTGCCAGCCACTTTAAAGGCAATTACAAACGAAAACCTTATCAGTACACAGCGCGATCACTAACGCCGGGACTTGAAAATACGTCATGTGAAAAATATTTTATACGACCATGGCCGTCGTATGTCCGGATTGTCGTAAATCGAGGAAAGACTGTACACTCAATTCCCCGCGCCTTTTCCTGACTATGATTATTTACATCTTTAATTTTCTTTCTCACAATGATTATAATATGAAGAACATCATTATGTTGTGTGCTATACAGTAGTTCCTGACTGTCATACTAATATTTGTGCAGATACAGATTGGGAGGTAATAAGAAAATGCTTCAACACTGTATTGATTCTCCTAACTAACCAGAAAGAGCATAATGAAAATTTTGGTGACCACCAAAATAAGCTTCAATTATTTCCTAATTACAATCTCTTACTATATATATATTTTTTTTAATCAATACTGGTTCAATACAACTTGACCTATTCAACAATAACAAAACTGATCATTCCATGGTAAAAGTGATGTGTGATCTAGTAAGTATTATCCATTATCCATGAATAGAGTATTCACCAACCTCCTCAGCAATATTTATACAGTCAGCAGCCATGTTCCCATTCTGATCCTGTGAAGTTCTGGCCTCTGTTGCTGTCTTTTCCAGCGTTGGGGATTCTTGTACTTCACTGATGTCTGTAACGGACAAAGACAAATTAAAAAGAGAAGAATGAAAATGAAAGCAAAACTGAGCAAATTTTTTCTTGCACACCCAAAAACAAACTGTCTCTTTATTCACCATCAAATCTTATCTCTAGCCACTGTAAAAAATATAAATTTTGCAAGGACTTGATTAAATCACCTGTGGAATCAGGATCTATGCAGGATATCTTGACATGAGACCTGACGTGAGCATCAAATTTGGCAATAGTGTTGAAGAGTGCCTTGGCCCAGCCAATGTGTAGCACTGGGGTGGCTGAACCTTCCTCCCACTCACAGATCCCATCATAAAACTCCAACAGGTATCCAAAACACTCTGGGTCCTTCAGTATGGATCTGGCCGAGATCCCCGAGCTAACCACTCGCATGATGTGAGGAATTAGCTCATTGGCAATCTCTAAAAACTCTTTGTAGATTTCTTCATCATCTCTTGAGTAATTATAACTGTAATAAAGAACAGAAACATTGTTGATTGAGGGGCCAAGATTGGGTACTTTCATTTTCTTAGCCTACTATAAGGATAAATTGTTTGTCACATTTACAGGTAGCATTTAAGAACTTTGACTAAAATGATATGGGGGGAGATATTCAGCTCACACAAGAATTGTTAAACCAATTGTGTTACATTTTCTTAATAAAAAAATCAATAATTAAAAATGTTACCTAGAGGCAAGAAGAAAGACTTTAGTCCCATGTTCTTGTAAGATAAAGTAAGTCAGCTATAAAAACCTGTCATCGGCATCAACCCAAGATCATTCAAGCTGAAAGTGATTATCAGAGATGCTACAGTCAGTGTTCCCCTATTGTATAATGCAAATACACTTTGACTTACTTTCTTATGACTGAGGCAGCTCGGGCCCAATACTTGAGTGCTTGTTTGTATAATTTGTTCCTATAGCAGTACCCCCCTAAGTAGGTGTACGGGTACACATGCTGATTTTCGTAGTAGCGGACTGCACTGGTTATGGCTTCTTCATACATCTTTGTGGCTGGACATCGACCCTTTGTTGGCATCATCTCCTCCAGGTCCCCCAAGTTGTCTTGGAAAAGAAAGTAACAGGTTGAAGTTTACAGTTGCAATCAAGAGTTAAAAATAATCTAAAAAATATACTTACCAAAGTCTCCTTAAGCTATTATTCACTCCACATAGTTTCTACTGACTATATGAATTGAACTGTAGCGGTAAAGGGACTCGCCAACACACAACAGTATTTGTTTCATTAAAGCACTAATTCCATTTTATAGTGTTAATTCTGGAAGCTGACTTACAGGGAACAAAAGTAGGCTGACGATTTTTATTTTATTTATTTATTTTTTTACCGGGATTAGCCCACCCAGGCACAGGTTCACTGACCCACATCGGGGCCTGGGGGGTGAAAATGTAAGCCCCCCCTGTGTGCCCTCATGCTCACGGCCTATGCCACCTGGCACCACTGCTGGCGTCCACACCGAGCCTGCCCCCGTCCACCCACCGCGCGCTCATGGACCCGAGGACACCACCCCCAGCCCCCTGTCCCCCACCGGCGTCCCGAAACCTGAGGCCCATCCACTCCAGTTCTTCACATCAATTGACCACCCTGCGGACATGCTATTGGACTATGTATCTACGCCAAGAACGACGTCCCCTACCAACCTCTCGACGTCCCCCTTGAAGTTGACACTACCGACGTACACGCCATCACAATCACACTAAAAGGTATGTCCCTCAATATTGTCAATGCCTATGGCCTGGCACTTGACATTATTAGGGACCTGACACGCTTTGCCATAAACAGATAAATTGTGCCGGGAAATTTCCCCCCCACACACTCATCATTCTGTCACTTTATGTAACTTGCTGACAAAACCCATGACCCTTCAGGCTTTTACGCCCTTAATGCATGAGTCATAAAGGCAAGAATGAACTCTGCATGCTACCCAGATGGGCACTGTAAACGCTTGTGCGCTTCACCTTGCACAGGATGTAAGGGGGTGCCCAATAAACTAGCCCCTTCTGGGGCAATCTAAAAAAATAAAAATAAAAATAATAATAATAAAGTAATTCATAGTAAATAAAATATATAATAAAAATAAAATAAAATAAAATAAAAATGATAACAATAATTATAATAACAGCACTGTAATAATAATAATAAAGAAATACAAAAAATTTAAAAAGGATTCAACAGTGAGAAATGCTATATGTATGTTGTTTTATCAAGTAAGAGAAACAATCGAGACCCTGCAATTGTGTGTAAATGAGGCAGAAAGACAGATCAGCAACCTGGGACTTGGTCACAATATTTGTGATGCCATATAGCAGCAGGGTCTACCATTAGACAACACATTATGCTTCCAATACAGTATCTTCCCAGGCGGTAGTACCTCCCTGTTTGATAGCTGCCTACTACGTACAATAAATAATTTTTACTAACAATCCTGTACTGATAATCAAATGAACATGGATATATAGTGTGATGGGAATTTATAATTCTGCCGGCCTTGATTGGGGTGAATGGGTGATAGAACTGTCAGAAGACATTCCATCACTGGAATCTAATGTTGGTCCACCAAGACATAGTGAAAGCCACTGGAGCACTGATATTGGTGATGATCATCAAGATATTAAGTGAGTAACTTTCTTTAGTACTGTGTATAACCATGGAAGAACCACCCAGGTACTGCCTCAGCAAGACTAAACACAAGCAGAAGTAGAAACATATGAAGAAACACAACAAAAATACCAGAAGGTAAGACTTCAGTTTACTTTGCTGTAAATGATAGTTTAAAAAATTTCCATAGTTTCTTGTAAGTATAAAATTATTACTGTACAGTACTGTACTATGTTGCATGTATTATCAGGCACCTATGGGGATTGAGAGGTACTGGATAGAGATTTTCAGAATGGTTGAATCTCACTCTTAGGATCCCCAATAAATCCTACAATGCACAGTACAGTACGACAGGTTGACTTGCAAATTCGTGTCTCAGGAAAACAGACTTCTTTAGCACATATTGCACTCTATATAAATGATGTGGCTTAGAAATAAAGAAAATATAATATAAAACTAAAAAATAAGAAAAATGAAGAGCATGTGTATGCATGTGAGGAGAATGAATGTGTGTGGAGGCGATGGGTTATAACCAGGGGCAGATCCAGGAATATCAAAAGGGAGAGTCCAAGAAGTTGTGGGCATTTTGAAGCCATGTGCACTTGATTTTAGGAGATATTTTGAGGTCAATAGTAATTAATTTCTACTATACAAAATTGCCTGAGTACAATACTGCATTAAAGAAAGAGTGTTGGAATTTTCTGATTAAAAGGGGGAGGGGGTCAGAGCCCCAGGACACCCCCCCGGATCCACCCTTGATAACTGTGTCGCCGACTTGATAGCCCAGTCGCCTTGTATATTATTACTTGTAAAGAAACTATAAAAGTTGTTGAAAAAGCATTACAATACTCAAATGTGGCTTAGGAATAAAGAAAATATAATATTAAACTATAAAATAATAAAAATGAAGAGCTTGGGTGTGTATACGTGGGAAGTGAACATGTGAGGAGGCGATGGGCTACTGGGCTATAACTGTGGGGTTGTGTTCCTTCCAGATGTGACATCATAGCATAGACAGTCACACACCTGTGAGTCAGCTGGGTGACTGTCTGAACTTTGTCATGTTGCCCAGAGGATGGTTTGAGTGTGGAAGGAGCTATTTTTTGTACATAAAATATGTGCTATTGTATTTTATGATATGTTACGTATCAATTTTATTGTTTATCATAGCAATAAATATGGCAGTTCATTCCCATTGCTTGTGGTATTTAAACTTACACTTCTAGCTGTAATTTGAGGAATTTTGATTTTCATTATTGTTACTGTATTTCATTTTGGTGCTGGTTAGTTGAATCTTCCTGTTACCCGGACTCCGGATAACTGGGGTTTTACTGTACTGTATTATGTTTATTATTGGCTAATAATCATTGTTTACACCAAACATTTTCATTCAAACATGCTTTGTAACATTTCATAGCATTTTGGGGTAAATTATTTTTCCCCTTAGGGACATATCTCAGCTTTCATAACGGAAGTGTATGGAAAAGTGTGCTTCGGTTTACAAATTTTGACTTGCAAAAGATTTTTTTTGTAAATCAGGGTTTACCTGTATTCATTTTATGCATGACTTGTGAAGAACTCATCCCTCTTGTATAGTAACAACTGCTTGTACAGGTACAACTGGACGATATTAGATTGTGCTAACCTAAGATGCATGATGTTTGGGAGGCACTTGTCCTATGAAAGGCATCCAGTCATATCTTATTTTGAGACTGATTCACTAAGATGACACACTTGGACTGTAGCAATTAACACATTTGGCTGGGATCAAATGAGTTCTCTTTCTTTCTGTTCAACAGATATATGTTGCATACAATATAGTGTATTCTGCATTGCCAATACAGTTGCCCCTTAACATACGCGGGCTTAGCATACACGGATTTGCAAATACGCGTATTGCCCCGCCGGAGGAATATTCTGTACATTGAAGTAATTGAAGTACATTAAAATCGCGCGCCATTTCAACTCGCGCGCGGCACCGAACACTGCCCGCTCCCGCAACCTCACACACACACGCATAGCTCTCCCTCACTCAGTCAGTCTCGCTGTAACCACGCTTGTGTTGACATCAGCATTGTACAGTTGTACCCCACTTAACGTGGTCAATTGAACCCAGAGGGTCCCGCGTTAAGTGAAATCCGCGTTAAGTGAACAACAGAACATATGGGATTAATTCCAATAGAAACCGGCCCGACCCCCAAACTCCACTTTTTGAAGGCACATACCTATGTTGTAGTAAAAATAACATCTTAATTTTATGATGGTACATGCACACAATTAATACTTAAGAGAAATAGAGAAATACAGTCGCCAAGTTAATGTCCATTCAAATAATGGACTCAACTCCCTCTCACACTACACTGCCGGCTCTTCCCTCTCAGAGAAATTTTTGGGGGAAAACCACTAAATTTTAATAAATAATACCTCAAACTAAAGTTAGGATAATACAATTGACATTGCTGGATTCCTTGTAAGACCAGGAATATTTTGAATATAAATGTCATATATTTTGCACAAAAGATAACATAGTTACCTAGAGAAAATTTTTTTATCTAAAATTTGTATGTTTAATGCAAAATATATGATGTTTATATTCAAAATGATCACCAAATTATAAGAATTCCAGCAATGTAAATTATATTCTGACCGGGTAATTTGTATGAATTTTATGAGCTAAAACAAATATCTTCAGTTAATAAAAAAAAAAATAATCTTCACGACACTATCTGTCAATCAAAGTACCCCACCTTGCCTCCCCCCCTCTTCCAACCGCGCGGTCAGTCCCAACCCTCCCCCCCACCCCCCACCAATCCTCCCTTCCAGGGTTTTTAACATTTAGTATTAAATAATACCTCAGATTAAAGTTAGGATAATATAATTGACATTGCTGGATTCCTTGTAAGACCAGGAATATTTTGAATATAAATGTCATATATTTTGCACAAAAGATAACATAGTTAATTTGAGAAAAATTTTTATCTAAAATTTGTATGTCTAATGCAAAATATATGATGTTTATATTCAAAATGATCATCAAATTATAAGAATTCCAGCAATGTAAATTATATTCAGACCGGGTAATTTGTATGAATTTTATGAGCTAAAACAAATATCTTCAGTTAATAAAAAAAAATAATAATTCTTCACGGGGTAACAGATGGTCGGTCGGTCCCTCCCTCCCCCCCCCACCCCCCACCAACCGTCCCAAGGAGATGTGTGGGATAACCACTAAATTTTAATAAATAATACCTCAAACTAAAGTTAGGATAATATAATTGACATTGCTGGATTCTTGTAAGACCAGGAATATTTTGAATATAAATGTCATATATTTTGCACAAAAGATAACATAGTTACTCTGAGAAAAATTTTTATCTAAAATTTGTATGTCTAATGCAAAATATATGATGTTTATATTCAAAATGATCACCAAATTATAAAGAATTCATAATGTAAATTATATTCTGG